AAAATCCGCCCCCGCGGCAGGCTGTTGAAAGCATGGGAAGAATCGAAAGCCCGCACTGCGACACCTGGGACAGCCGCTTTCAAGGTTGTTATTGAATTGTGAACCTGCTCACATCATGCCTTGCGCCCCACGCCGTACTGCTGAGGGCCAACCCCAGGGCGCAGCGTGTCCCAGAAAGCTCCACAAGCAGACCAGACGGCCACGCGACGCAGCACCAAGCCGCACAGCACGGGCCGAATCTTGCCGTTCGGCTTTCGCGACGCAGTCAATCAGCCTGCTCCCCCTCCTTCTCCTCCTCCTCCTCCTCCTCCTCCTCCTCCTCCTCCTCCTCCTCCTCCTCCTCCTCCTTCCTCGTCCTCCTCCTCCTCCTCCTCCTCCTCCTCCTCCTCCTCCTCCTCCTCCTCCTCTTTCTCCCCCTCCTCTTCTTCCTCCTCCTCCTCCTCCTCTTCCTCCACCTCCTTTCAGCCTTTCAGCCTTTGTGCCATCAGATCCCACGGCGTGAGACCAGCAACAGAGACGGGATGGGGGGGGGGTCGGGGTCGGAACAACCCACATCACCTCTTTATGGGGATGCTACGACCAAAGAAACGCTTGGTGCTGGGGTCGACGCCTCGCTTAAGGAGGCCAAGGGGGACAGCAGCATCCTTATTTTCGGGGTGGCGATTACAACGCTTCCCGAGACCAAGGACCTTCGCTCTCCCAAAACGCCCGCACCAAGCACACCAAAACATACGAGCACCTGCACTGGAATCAACACCTCCCCAGAGCAAGTGGCTTGAATGGGTTTGCCGCACGATTCTCGGCAAGCCGCCGCACGGAGTTAAAGCCAGGGCCGTATACGTTCGTTCCCGAGAAAAAACAAACGCGACAAGAAAAACCCTTCCCACAGTGCCTGATCTCATGACCGTTGGGACCCGGCACAATGAGAACGTCCGAGGGTTCGCTGCGGCCCTTGGCTCTAATGGGTTCTACATCTTGAATTCTATTCCGAGACAAGTGGCCAAGCACCTGCCCTGTATACAGAGCAAGAGAGGTGAGCCGCTCGGCCTGCTTGACCTCCAACTGCTGGAGGAAACTGCTGTGCGGCACGTTAGCTGCCGCCTCGCGGGCGAGGACGTCGCATGCCTGGTTGCCTCGCCAGGCCCACTCTGGGCAGCCCAAGGCTGCGGCCTGCAGCCTCGACTTGCGCGCAGGAACCTTAAAGAGAACAGTTTGGCCCTCTCCACGGTCTCGCGCCCTAGACAAAACTTCCTCCCAGAGTTCTCCGAAAGGGATGTCACAAACATTATGATGGAAACCTCGGGCCCAGACATCGATCAAGGACTGGCAGCCCACACCCAGGAGGATTTCACCTGGGCCCGAGTTCCTCAAAATCATCAGCAACCCATGCAATTCAGCACCGTAGATGTCCTGGAGCGGGTGGGGGAGCGGGCCATGAGCGCTGGCCAGTATATCGCCAGCAACACTGACCATGGCAAAGGCCCATCCCGCTCTACTAAAATGTCTGCTTTTGGGCTCCAGGACAGAGCCATCAGAGCAAATCTTTCCGTGGACGAAACCATCAGGTGGCGGGATCACCCACTTCCACCTGTCCAGAGTTTTGGGCGCAGGGGAGAGCCTGACGGGCGAGGGAAGGAGGCACCGAGTGAGGAAGGGGTCGCCTGGCTCCCCTTGTTCCCAATCTGGCAGTTCCCTCCAAAAACCTAAATCACGCCTGCACAGTTTGGTCCCTGGGCACTCAAACAACCTATGGCTCCGATCGCCTCTAGGAAAACCACAGACCTGGCAGGCTCCCGTCAGAACTCGTCGATCCTGAAAGAGCTCGCTCTGGGTAACCATTCCTCCTGACACATGTGTAGCCAACAACGACGCTTCTAGGTTCATTCCTCGACCTCGGAATTCCTCGCATACCTGGGCAACGGCGACCAGCTGGGGCCTCACGAAGCTCTGGTCGCCGAACTCCCAGCCTAGACTGCGCCCAAGCTGATCCTTAGTACCGATCTCGATGAGTGTCCGAAGGCTTCTGGTCCTTAGTTGTGTCAGCTTGATGGGCATCTCAGAGAGCATCCTCCAAAAGGTAGCACTAACTGGGGTCCAGTCCATACGACGCAAAGTACAGATAACGGCTCCAGTTGGGCCTCGGACATCCGACCAATCCAAGTGATCATTCTCCAAATATCTCTGGAAAACATCAACCATCTGCTGGGCAGGGGCCCAACCTCCCCAGAGAGCTTTGCCCCAAAATAGCAGAGGCTGGATATTCGCAACATACATCGGATCAGCTTTGGGACTGCCAGACAACATAGATTGGAGAGTTCTCGAGCGCCCGCGAGCCGGCCCAAAGATGCCTTCCGCCACCGCGCAGCGTAAGGACTGGAACCGTCAGGACGCTACGCCAGTCACACCGATGCCATAGCTGCCTGCAGTAAGAGCTCCAGCTCTCGAAATGGTAGTGGGTCTCTTGAACTGGGACTTCAATCCTCTGAAACGAGCTGCACGACTCCGAATCTTGCCGATCCTGGTCTTCTGAATTCGAGCAGATCGAGCACCTCCGATCGAGAAATCGACCCCCAGATTTCTGACTGCATGAGAGGACCTGAAACCCCAGTTGAAGTCCCGAACAAACTTCTTCGGCAAGAGCAGCGGTGCTGGCAACCGTCTGGCCCTTCTTGCGTGAGATGACAAGATCTGCAGCCTCTAAATACTTGCAGAGCGCCTGGGTGGCCTTGACGGCCGTCGACTTGGCCAGAGTGTGGGTAGCGACAACCTGGACTGTGATGTCGTCGACGACGTTGTAGAACTGACATAGACGAACTCTCCGAGACATTTCATCTAGTTCCGATATGATCATAACTCTCAGAAGTGTAGTCGCATACCCACAACCAGCCAGGATGGTCGAATAAACAACAGTGGGCCTCGAGACCCATAAGCCAATCAGCAACATTCTAGGACAGCGGTAGATCGCCAAACACAGCCGTAAGTGGAACAAAGGAAAACCGACCTGGCGCGCCTTGGACACCAGCGTCATACGCCGTACCTTCTCGTAAGCTTTGGTAAGATCGATAAGGTTATTGACGATGGCGAAACCATTTAAACTGGCGTGCTCGGCGGTGAAAGCTTGCTCCCAAACCGCTCTCTCACACGATCGGCCCTTGGCTCCATAGATATAGCTTCGTTGATTAGCTTGCTCCCAGTCCGTAGCTACGTACCTAGTGCAGCTGCTCCACAAACGTACCGTCATGCTCAAAAGGGCTATTAACCGATGCCCATTATCATCAAGCTTAGGTAGAGCAGGCTGTAGGATTAGGCTCATCTGAAAAGGGAGAACGGCATGCTGGAGCATCCACGCCCAGATCAGGTCGAGCGCAACCAGAAATTCATCAGACAGTAACAGAAACTCTCGAGGTCCTAGTCTGTCTATGCCATGAGCAATCCATGCCTTCATGTTTCGCGCAACTGCCCTGATCTCCGAGGGCGAAAAATGCCGCACAGGGCATTCTTGGTCCTGAAGCAGTGCTCTGAATTCCTCAAAGACATGATCAGGATCCTGAAGAGGCTCTGAGTGATACACGGCAGATCCCCAGATGGTCTCCCATTCCTGAAGGTTCTGTTCCATGAGCTCAGCGGGTCCTGGGGGAGGCTCACCTTTGCCGGGTGCCACGGGGCGCCAACCAAGGGGATGACGGGTATAGTGATGAGCCTCACCTCCTCCTGCCTGCACTGCTTGCTGAACAAAGCCCCGCCACTGACGGGCTCGACTGCTCGCAAATCTTGCTCCTAACTTCTTCGCAAAGCTGCAGGCTGTCTCATGCAAGTCCATGAGCGCCCCCGAATCACACCAAGAGAGATATGCTGGCGTAAGATACCATAAAGACTTCCACTCCTCGCTGCTCCTCAACAGCGGGGTGGCGAACAAGATCTTGGCGAACAAAGATGCGGCTCCTACAGTGCCCTTAAGAGTCTCCTGGGATCGAAGACGGGCAAGCCCCTGACACCAATTACTCCACCTCCTCCACTCCCTACTCACAGGACAGGCGACTGGGTAGGGTCCTGTGGAGGGGGGAGGGAGGGTACACGTGTTACTTTCCACCCTGGTCCTCGTCCCACGTAACGCTCCTTCTCAGACTCAGGGATACCATGAGCCGCGATCGGCTCCTGCTCCAACAGACCCATGAACTTTCCGAAGCCTGCGTCGAGGTCCTGCTGAGTTCCCTGGCGCTCGAGGAGGGCGATAACCTGATCCCAACCTTGCGGAGGTCCTGGCACGGGTCCGACGGGGTACTCCTTGGGGAACTTATTGGGGGCCTTGAGGACGGTCATCATCTGAAGTATTGGTTTACTCCTCATAACCAGCCGAACGGGTCGATGCGGTTTCAAATGAGACCCAAGGGAAACCTGACACGATAACACCGACGGCGCCAGAGCATCCGAGACAACGAAATAATCCAACGTCCTCCACTCTCTCTTACCCGAAGTGCACGTGGGAGAGGAAGGAAAGATAATCCTACCACCCAGCCTGCTAGCCCATCCAAGACGCCCCAGCAAGGACGGTGGGGCGTTCCAGTCTCCACCAATCAAAAAGGGGAGGCCTGCCGAGTGAAGTGCTTCTCCCAATCTGCTCAGTAGTAGGCTACCCTCAGGGCCGAAGGGATCGTTTGTGGGCATGTACAACGAAACAACAAGAATACCTCCTGGTAAAGGGCATTGACCCACCTGACCAGGACTCTGTGAGGCGAGGGCAAGGCCTGGGGCAACTCGGGAGCTCTACCCATTCCAATACAGGCTGGACCTCCGACAGCAACTCCTCCTGAGAGACACCCAGCATCGGTTTCTCGAGACGGTGACACTGACGTGAGCAGCCCTCGGTCCCTGAACATCTTCTCTCGGACTGGCTGATCTGTGGGTCGGATGCCGACCTCCTGAAAAACATAAATGTGTGGCCCAGGGAGAGTCGAAAAACTGCTGGCACTCCCTTTGCCAGACGGAGACGTGGTCAGCGCCTGGCGGAACTGCGCGCCCTGGCGGCGCAGCTCGGCCTTCTTCTCCACGAACGAGATGCATGGCCCCCAGCTCGTGGTGTTGGCCGTCCAGACGGTGATCATCGTGCTACCCATGAGGCTTAGCAGCACCAGACTTGCCACCGTGGCCCTTACCTTTGGGCCTAGCTGCCGCTTTGGCTTGGGCATAGAAATGCTCCAGCTGCTCAGGCGACAACGTGGGTTGGGCGCCCTTGGGCGCCGCCTCTGGCTCCGGCGACGCGTCCGCGTCCACGACATCTGGGGAAGCCGCAGCAGCCGCACCAGCCCCGGCGGCTGCAGCCGCTGCGCCAGGCGCCGCTGCAGCTGGGGCACCATCAGTAGCACCAGCACTGCCAGAAGTACCTGTCCCACTGCGCTGCTGCTCACCATCCTCATCATGCCGTCGACGCTTGGCCTGCACGCGCTTGTTGAAGTCCTTTTGCTCCTGGAAAATGGCGGTGGCGCGCTCCTTGAGGCCTTGGAAGGCCTCCCGCGCAGTCTGCTGCACCAGCTGCTGCAGCTCGGCCTTGCGACGATCCAGCTCCTCTCGATCCTGGGGCGCCACCTCAACCCCCTCGAGCTGCTCGATGCCGAAGAGGCCGCCATCGTCGAAGTCAATGTCCTTGCCCGACAGCATGTCCTCCAAGCTGAGGCACGGCACCTTCGGGTCCGTTTCAGGCACCACCTGGGCAGCCAGTCCACGCACCGCCTCCTTGTAGACACTCTCGCAGTGGGCGTAGGCCTTGTATGCTTCGGCCGCCGTCTGGCGGGCTGCCGCCAACTGCTCCTCCAAGGCCTCGGCGTGCGCCACGGACCTGTCCAGCTGCCACTGCGTTTGCTCCATGGCGTGCTTGGCCGAGCCAACAGTGGGCGTTGGGGCTGAGGTTGTGGCCTTCTGCAAATCCGAAATGAGCTGCGAATACCTGGCCGCTCCCTCTGTGTCCCCCAACTCTGAGAGTGACTTGTGGAGGGCTCGTAGGGACGGCAACTGGTCAATCGTATATCGGGTGGTGGCACTCGCAGGCGTCGACGAAGCACCAAGCCATCCAGACTGCTGTAGCTGCAGACCGACTTGACGCACCTCAGCCACAGATAAAGGATGAGCGCCAGGAGGGGGGCCCGAGCGGCCTGCAAATCCCTCTCGGCTGCCCGCCCATACACCTGGCGGCTTGGCATACTTTCCCGCCGACAATTCTTTTCGGTCTGCTCCACAGTGCTTACACCATCACATCCATACTTCGTTCTTAGAGCATCCGCAAGATACACACTTCCACTTAGTTTTGGGATCGACCCGATTGAGCCAATCCTTCCACTGCTTATCACTCCATTTCTTCCAGCCGCTGCCATCGCGCCCCGTGAGAGACGCACCTCCTGAAGGTGACGGCAGGAACTGGTGCTCCAACAGGAGCTCACGTAAAGAAACGAAATGGCCGAACCACTATGGCCCGCAACAGCAATGCAGTTCTGAAGCTCGCTGTTGCAAGCTCCTCGTCCGCAGACTTAGGAGCCAGAACGGCTCCTCTTCCTCCACCTCCTGCTCCTCCTCGTCCTCCTCCTCCTCATCCTCCTCCTCCTCCTCCTCTTCCTCCTCCTCCTCCTCCTTCCTCCTCTTCCTCCTCTTCCTACTCCTCCTCCTCCTCCTGCTCCTCCTCCTCCTCCTCCCCACATCCTCCGCCATCCTCCTCCTCCTCCTCCTCCTCCTCCTCCTCCTTCTCCCTCCTCCTCCTCCTCCTCCTCCTCTCCCTCTCCTTCTCCCCCTCCTCTTCTTCCTCCTCCTCCTCCTCCTCTTCCTCCACCTCCTGCTCCTCCTCTCCTCCTCCTCCTCCTCCTCCTCCTCCTCCCTCCTCCTCCTCCTCCTCTTCCTCCTCCTTCCTCCTCCTCCTCCTCCTCCTCCTGCTCCTCTCCTCCCCTACCTCCTCCGCCATCCTCCTCCATCCTCCTCCTCCCTCTCCTCCTCCTCCTCCTCCTCCTCCCGCCTCCTCCTCCTCTTCTCCGCCTCTTCCTCCTCCTCTTTTCCTATGTTCTTATTATTATTATTCCTCCTCCTCCTCCTCCACCTGCGCCTCTTCCTCCTCCTCCTCCTCCTCCTCCTCCTCCTCCTCCTCCTCCTCCTCCGCCCTGGCCCATTGAGGACCAATGATGAGCACACGGATCCCCCCAGGAGGCCGACACGGCCCCAAAGGCCCGACGGAGCCCGCAAATGCCTGCGTCGTCGTCGTCGTCGATCTCGTCGTCGTTCTCGTCGTCGTCGTCGTCGTCGTCGTCGTCGTCGTCGTCGTCGTCGTCGCCCTCGTCGTCGGCGGCGGCGCCAGCTACAAGCCCTCGGGGCCGGCCGCGAGAGAACGGCGGACCAGGCCACCGTCGCACACGACGCACTCGCCCTCGCGCGGGGCCAACTGATGCACGCCCGCGCCACGCTGCTGCCCTGCCTCTTCCCTCCTCTCACGCCGACGCCAGAGTGTGCCGTGGTGCAAGATCGCCGAATCATCGAGAGGATGGTGCAATGTGGGTCCGGGCACGCGGGCGCGCGAACCGTGCCAGTTGGTCGTCCCGTTGGGAATGCTGAGCCTGGTGCAATGTGATAGGAGATAGGCTTAGCCCGCGGGTAGGTGGGCAATGCGGGGCGCCCTTAATCAAATTTGTTGCTCAGCTGAACAGGGTGCCGTGTACAGAACGGGAAGCGCGCGGGACGTCCTTGCAAAAGCAAGTATGCCGACCCCCGCTTGCCTGGGGTGAAAAGGCGTGTGAGACATCTGGCTGTCCCCCTCCCCCTTTCCTCCTCCCCAGGGGTCGGAAATCGGATTAGAGAGGGGGGGGCGCTGAGGGGTGGGTAGGCGAGCTCCCCAAGGCCCCACCCAGGCTTCCGGAGCCTCCCATAAGCCTCAAGATGACCCGCGTGTGTCCAAACAGATCGCCAACACAGCCCAAGAGAGCGTCGAGACGGCCCAGGGTCGCCCCAAGATGGCTTCGAGACGGCCCACGCGCCTCCAAGACGGCCCAAGAATGCTCCCAGAGGACCGCCGAGAAGGCCTGAAGAGGCACAGACCGTCTCATTCTCTCAGTAAAACGTGCATTTTCAGCATATTCACCTTTTCCTTCTTGGCAGCGTCCAAGACTGCCAAAGGGGCCCCTAAGATCGTCCCAACAGGGCCCATGAGGCCTGCAAGGGGCCCCAAGACAGCCCAAGAGGGCCCCAGCCCAAGACGGGGGATACGAACTGACATGTCGAGCTTTTCTCCTCAAGCTGGCCCCAACGGCCCCCCAGACGCCCCGAGGCGCTCACAAGAGGCCCCAAGAGGCCCCCAAGAAGTACCCGAGAAGCCCTCAGGAAGCCCTCAAGAAGGCCCAACGGGCCCCCCAGATGCCCCCAAGAACCCTCCAAGAGGCCTCTGAGAGGCATCCCACGAGCCCCTCAAATGCACCTAGACAATTTCCAAGACTGTCGCAAGCACTTGCTCCTTCTGGAGGGTCGGCGGAATGTGGTTACAAATACGGCACAAGCAACAGAAGCCAGGCGCAGACAAACGCAGCATGAACGCTTCGTGCGGCACTTCCGATGGAAACGATCGAACAAGGGAACGTCCGCGCACGAACCATGCACGTCAGGATCCTGGCAGGGTGCAACTAGGTTGCAGGTTGACGAACTGCCTGGGACATCCTTGCAACAGCGATTTGATGAGGATGACTGGGCTGCTTGCGATGCTGCTGTCCCGTTCCAGCGATAGCATGTGCTCCGTCATCCCCCGTCACTTAAAGAAACATCTTCGTGGCGAGCAAGCGAGGACCTCAAGGCCAATTCGCGGGTGTAGTACCGAAGAACGCCCAGCTCTCAAACACTGGGACACTGGGCGAGACTTTCGTCACGCCCATGCATGTACGTTCACGCCACGCTGCCCTCCCCCACCCACTTCTCTGGAGGGTGGGAAGGAGGAGGGGGGAAGGAAGGGGAGAGGAGGGGGAGATGAGGGGGAGGAGGAGGAGGAGGAGGAGGAGGAGGAGGAGGAGGAGGAGGAGGAGGAGGAGAAGGAGGAGGAGGAGCAGGAGGAGGAAGAGGAGGAGGAAGAGGAGGAGGAGGAGGAGCAGGAGGAGGAGGAGGAGGAGGAGGAGAGGGACGGTTTTGAACGTTCGTGGGTCGAGGGTCTTCCTTGCGATCCTCCTCATCCCCTTTGCTCTCACAGAATCCCTTCTCCCTCCTCTTCCCCATCCCCCTCCACCTCCCAGTCCTCCTCCTCCTGATCAGCCATTCCTTTCGGGCAGGGGGGTCCGAGTTTTCGGCAGCGGGCGCTGCTGTCAAAGAGCCATGAAGGAAGGTGGATCCCCACGTCATCTGCTACAGCGTTGCGACTAGGCCCCACCGTGTACGCAGCCGTTTAATGGCACCCTCTTCCTCTGCCTTTTCTTTCCACCCTCTATTTCTTTCCGCCGCCCGCCATCAGGAGAGCTCCGTACAATTCGCTCTCCACGGCGAAATCCTGACGGCCACCGGAGAAATTCACCCCCCGAATGTGCCTATGCACGTAAAGAGACCCAGCGTGCCTGTAGACATATCTGTAGACGCTTGTGGCTAGAAGGTGAGACCAGTATTCGGCACATGCCCCAAAAGTTGGTCTTCTAGAAGCAGGTGGACTCTGCCCCCCCCCAAGCTTGCGCTGACTCCCGTTGCGCTCGGCTGCACACAGGGGTGACCCTGGGCAAGAGTGCCTCAGTGCGCGGCCTTATAAGCCTCGTCAAAAATAAACAGAAACAAAGTTGGAAATCACGACGATCGATCTTCTCGGGCACTTGTTAGAAACTGCGCTCTTCAATGCTGCGGAGGGGTCGTCGGATTTTTGAAGCCCTTGCGTCCACGTCAGATATCTAGCGTCAGCATTGGAGTAGCGCTGACCATACAATCACCGAAAACAGAATCCCTCAGTCTATTTTTGACGAGGGTTGTAGGACGGCCGCGGGGGAGGCCCAAGTCCGAGCAACCCGAGCGCGCCGGCCGGTGCCCGCAAGAGAAGGTCACTCTCGCTCGGGCGAAGGGTCGCCCCCACGCGTGCAGTCGGACCCGGGGCGGAGGAGCGTCCCTCGAGAACGTCAGAACCCCTCCGCCGGCCCAAGCTGAAGCACCCTCGAGGGCGCCCCTCCCCAGGATGCACGGGATGCACGAGAGAACAGCCAACAGGCACGCAGAACCCTCGAGGATGCACAGGATGCACAGGGATGCGCGAGAACATCCAGCAAGCACGGAGAGCCTTCGAGGGCGCCCTCCCAAAAGCGACCTCTCAGATCTTCTGCCTCGGCCCGACCGTGGCCCGTTAGCGCTGGCCCCCGCCACGTCGGCCCCGAAGAGCGGCGCCCCCCCCCGAGGCCTCCGGCGTGCTCGCGGAGCTCCGCGGCCCGGCCGCGAAGCAGCCCGCGCGGCGGCGCTCGACGCGGCACTCGGCGCCCCCGGCGGGCCTCAGGGTGAAGTTCAGGCGGACCTCGGCGTGGCCGGGACCAACACCAAACTGCTCCTCCGCCTCCTCCGCCTCCTCCTCCTCCTCCTCCTCCTCCTCCTCCTCCTCCTCCTCCTCTCCTCCTGCTTCTCCTCGTCCCCTCGTCCTCTCGTCCTCCTCCTCCTCCTCCTCCTCCTCCTCCTCCTCCTCCTCCTCCTCCTCCTCCTTCTCCTCCTCCCAGAAGCCCCTCCCTGGCTCGTTGTTCAGGGGGTGGCCCAGACCTCCAAACTACCAGCCTCGTGAGAAATATACTGAGACGCCGTTCCAAATCGGAACGCCCGATGGTTCGGGCACTCGTCAGAGAACGCGCGCTTCTGCTGTGAGAGCACTGCCGGAACTCGGACCCCCCTGCGCGTGGGCAAAACACTTCATGCCAGCATTGAAGCAGCACCGACCGCGCAAGCGCCGAAAACAAAACCCATCAGTTTTTGTTTGACGAGTCTTGTGAGGGAACAAACAGTAGCATAATCATAAAAACTCTGAGGTCCGCGAGGTCTCCTCGGATCCATAGTGGGGCCCCCTGGCGGCGCCACCGGCGCCGCCCCTGGCGCGCTCCGCGCGCCAGGGAGGGTGTTCCAGCGCCGATCCCACAAATGCGCATGGACATTCGAGCTTTTATGTTTATGCCATTGCTTGCTCCCCTCCGAGCGCATTGACAAATCAGGACCAGCGATGGTGTTCAGGCGATCGCACCGCGCCGTGCTGACAGAAAGCTTGCCGTCAGCCATTCGTTGATCGACCTGCTGATTGATCTTCGCCCTCACTTCCCATGGAGAGGGGATCGGCCATCCACCAAGGGCAGGGTCCAGCCCCCGTCTGCCTGGGCGAGTACCACACCCCGTGCCGATGCCCAGACCTCCAGCGCACGGTGATCGAGGGCATCGGATAATTAGGGAACCATTGGACGAGGAATCCGGGGTCTGCACACCTGGTGGAGCACCAGTGGAGGCTCGGCCGTGGCCATGGACATCACCGCCGCCCGCATCGGATAGATAAGGAAGCCTCCAGGGTCTGAAGCCTGCCGGGCACATTCCTCAACGAACGCCCCAACCGCATTGAACAATCAGGACGGACATATTTTTCTTCACTTTCAGCATCTGGGGGCCCTCGCAAAGCCCCGGGACCGTCAACCAACGCTCCGGGAAAGCGGTCCTTGGGAAGTGGTCCAACGCTTCGGGGACCCGCACTGAGAAAATCAACACGGCGGAGGTCTGGGTGGAAGGCTTGGCGAGGGAGGGCCTCGGCGCCGTCGCCTCTGGCGTCTGGTAGGAGGAGGAGGAGGAGGAGGAGGAGGAGGAGTAGGAGGAGGAGGAGAGGAGGAGGAGGAGGAGGATGAGGAGGGAGGAGGGGGAGGAGGGGAGGAGGAGGAGGGAGGAGGAGGTGGAGGAGGAGGAGGAGGAGGAGGAGGAGGAGGAGGGAGGAGGAGGAGGGGGAGGAGGAGAGGAGGGAGGAGGAGGGAGGAGGAGGGGGAGAGGAGGAGGGAGGAGGAGGGGGGAGGAGGAGGAGGAGGAGGGGAGGAGGAGGAGGAGGAGGAGGAGGAGGGAGGAGGAGGAGGGAGGAGGGAGGGGGAGGAGGGGGAGGGAGGGGGAGGGGAGACTCGGATCGGATGGGCCGCCCACCGAGGGCAGGGTCGGGCCCCCGTCTGCCAGGAGAGTGCCGCACCCCATGGGCAGTGCAGGCGGGGGCGGGCCCCGCAGGGGCCGCAGGAGCGACCGGGGGCACGAGCCCCGAGGCGCAGCAGTTGCATGGGCGGATGACGATTAAGTAAAAAATGGGAGAGAACGATTAGAACAATGGTTTCCTGCTATTTCTGCACAGGTTTCTGACTGGAGGAGAACGATAAAAAAATAGTTTTCCAGCCCGCGGCCGGGTTGTTCTAATCGTCATCCCGGGCGCCGCCGCGTGAACACGACCCCCAGTCATTTATTAATCGTCATCCTCCATTACATGGGAGGATGGAGGGGCGCGTGCAGCTGATATCAAAAGCGCTGGGGGCGTCTTGCTGTTCCAGCGTTTTCGGCAGTTCGGCTTTCGGCCCACCGCACCAGGGTGAAACATCGGCAGTCCAATACAGACATGACAACAATACCAGACGGAGCCGAAGTGAAAACGGGGCGAACGAGAATCCCAAAACGGGAAAACGACTAACAGAAAGAACAAGCACGTCCAGATTGGAAACTTGTAAAAACTGTGCTTAACACCATCCAAGGGCCGGGAGGAGCGGTTCAGGGTGCTTTCGAAGACTGTATAAGTAGTCCCAGAGAAGCTCGGCATGACAAGGGTGTCCAGATACATGTTCTGGAAGTTTGAGGATTTGCTGGTAGTCATCGGGCCCCATGATGTTCTCCAGCAGCTGCGCCTCGTCAAAATTCTGCCAGGGGCGCCAGAGTAGTCACGAACTGCTCCCTCTGGCCAGAATTCACGACCAAAAGAAACCAACCACACAAACAAAATACGAACGGCGCGGAATCCATACGAAGGTCGGGATCAAGAGCCACGAAGCCCCGTGCTGAAAAGACCCGGACGCTGGAGACCTTGGCAGAGGACCTGGCCCTGCCGTCCCCCAACACCCCTGACATGGCCCGCTCCGAGGCCTCCTGCGACTCCAGGAGCCCCATGTCGTGACTCTAGACCCAGGTGTCGGAAACAATCCAGCAGCACTCACGCGCAACGCATGTATGGTTTGAAGCCCCTCTCCCCCAAAAGCAGTGTTGGTTCTGGATGTTCCGAGCCTGAGCGTCTGAGCGGCAGTGCGTAAACGCGAAAAGCTTTGCAGCCCCGCCTGAGCTCCTCCTTTCGGGGGAACTCTGGCGGGAGCGATCCACGCAGGGGCGGCATTCCAACCCCCCTGGGCGATGGAATGCGGCGAATCCCCCTCTGAGCAACGCCCCTGGCCGATGCTCAGAGGAGGTGGAGAGAGCAACCCCCCTGTGCGATGCTCTCTCCATGCTGCACCGCGGAGGAGGAGGGAGAGCTGCTTGCTTGGCTCCATCAGCCGTCGCCCCTCCGCGCGGGGAGCCGAGCCACGCCGGGGCCCCCCATCGCGCGCGGCGTCGCCCCAGCGGGCCGCCCGCCCAGGCCCGCAGGGTGCCGGGCGGATGACGCCCCAGACCTCCACCGCCGCGGACGGAGACGCCACGGGCATCCCTGGCACAACCTTCGGGGGCGCCCAGGAGGGGGGGCGTCCACGAGGGGGCTCGCAGATCATGGCCCCCCAGGCACGTGCGCGGACGCGGGGGGAAGGACCGGGGGACGCACTGAGATACGAAGAGGGGGCCACGGACTCCGGGAGGCGCCATGGCAGCGACCACGATACCCACCCGCCCACCCGTCATGCCCCCCCCCCCCCCTCTGGGCCCGGCCCCCCCCCACGACACTCGAGTGCCCGATGGCCGTCTCCAAGGGCCGAGCGACGTTCGAGGCCCCCGCGCGACGGCACGCCGGAGCTCCGGGAGCGTGGGCACGCCCGACCGCCCCCTCTCCTCTTGCCACGCCGAGCCCACAACGGTCCGCCAGCCGACGGGCCCAGTCGGCGCCACAGCGCGGAGCACTCCGCCGATCCGAGGCCGGCTTTTTCCCTGGCGTGCACCACACGGCACCACAGCCGGCAAGCCAAGGCGCCTCCACGAGCTCTGGGGCCGCGAGCGCCAGCAGCACAGCTGCCCCGAGGCGTGCAAGAGAAGAGTGCTTGGCCAGCTGTAAGAGCTGCACACAAAGGACGAAGAGGAGAAGGGAGGGAGGGAGAAGGGGAAAGAGGGGAGGAAGAAGAACTCCACAGATTCGAGAGCCTGGTCGATCGCCCCAGCGCCAGTCGACGGCAGATGGATCAGATAAGTTTGTCGACCCCTTCCCCACCCTCACCTTCGTGGTCCCACTCCTCGGCTGCACGTAAGAATCACTCTGGGCAAGAAAGACCTTCGGTGCGCGGTTGTCTGGGGGCCGCGGGGGCCCAAACTGAGCCAAACACAAGCGCGCAAGACGCTACTGCCGCATCGCGTTCGGTGGTCGCGGGGGGCCCCAATAGGCCCGCACCAAAGGTCACTCTGGTGAAGGATCACTCGCGTCCCCGCGTTGCGCACATGGGGTCTGTTTGGGTTCCCATTAGCTGCCCGTCCAAAGGCTACCGCTGAACACGCTGCGGCTCGAGTGCTGCTCATGTGTTGGGGGTCGGGCAGGAGTGAGCGAGACGGCTTGCGGGCGGGGAGGGTAGTTATTGACCCCCTTCCCCACCCTCCCCCTCGCGATCCCGCTCCTGCTTCGTGGGGCGCGCGCGGGCGGCGGCCTGGCTAGCGCCCACGCTCGCAAGCGGCCGGACGAGGCGCTGGGGCGCGGGCCCACCGGCTGCCCTCTGCCAGCGGGAACGCGGCCGAGGCCAGCGTGGCAGGCACCACGCCCGCGCCGAGGCGCACGAGGCTGACCTCTCCGAGAGGGAGCGCACCCGTGGAGCACTGCCGACGAGGGGGGGGGGGTCCACTCTTGGCTCACCCCCCTCCCGACCCTGGGACCTTCCCTGCCCGAAGCCCCACCCCTCCCACCCTTCGTTTTCCGCCCCTTCGGAAGCTACTACACCCCCCCCCCCTCCCCCGCTCTCGCGCGCCAGCAACTGCCCGCCCCCCCTCCTTTCCAGGGAGGGGGGGGGGAAGCTTGGTCGGAGCCAGAGCCGATGCACACGAGGCTGACCTCCAGCGTGGGAGGCTTGGCCTCGTCGTCGCGCTGCACGAGGCGTGCGTAGACGTAGCCTGACTGGTGGTCCACAACACTACGGCAACGCGAGCAATGCTCCTGGCCTCCCATGTACGACAAATCCACGTCGCGATAACGCTGGCGTTGGTTTCAGACTCCGCGCGTATCGTTCAACCTTGAACGTTAGTGGCTTTCCGATAGCTAGGATCGTTTGATATCTGCCGATTCTGGGCCACTAGCGGCGTTCAACCATGAATGCCCGTGCTGGGGTCACCGCCGAATCCAAGCGGCGCGAACCTACCGTACCAAGACGGCCGGCCTTATGGATAACGAACCATTCGATGGGACTCCCGAGATGCGAGGCCCACGGGTTGCTAACGAACCCGTCGATGGGATTCCCGAGATGCGAGGCCCACGGGTTGCTTCACACGGCGCGTCGCGCTGAATTCTGTGTCACACGAGTTGTCCCGCTTGGACCACGTTCACAAACTGTTTGGCATCATGGTCAACAGCGTGCTTCAACTATTGGCTTGCATGCTTCGTTAAGCTTCTTCACCAAACACTCACACACACAACTGCTGCGTTCGCGCCGCATATACGTCACATGCACATCACGTTCGTTCCGCCTGAATTTCGTATTTGTTTCAACGTTGCTTCGTAACGCTGGTCTTACTTCATATATCACCAACCTCGCGGCACCTCGACACCACTCTCGATATCGAAATATCGCGACTCGGCGACGCCACGATACTGACATGACACCATTCCGTACTCGCATCTGTTTTGCTCGTTGGGCACAGTGTTTCACGTTGCTTCCAGAGTCGGATCGGATTTTTGTTCCGGGTGCCATGTGTTGTTCAGACTTGCTGTCGGTGCACATGGTGGTGGCACTTGCGTTGCACGTGCTTTGACGTTGTATCAGACATGCGCCACGCAGCTTCATCTAACACGCATGCGCGGTGACTGTGTGTATATGATTCGCTATCCCTACACATGCGACTGGTGTTGACATCATGGCACCACGAACCAACCCCACCAACACAACATGATGTATGCGACACGATGCAGGCCACCACGAGACATCACACGATACCACAAAACACCACAGCACACTTCACCACACCGTCAGAACGCCAATCCAGGCAACATGGCGACGTGACGCGACCACGAAGCCCCCAACACCATCGCACCATCGCGACAATTGACGACATGGCGCGACGCCAAGCGACACCATGGCGTCGTCACCACGACAGCACTAGGACGACAAACCACACACGCAGGATGCCGCGACGAGACCACCAGCCGACTTCCAGCCCACAGAAGCAGGAGCTAAATACGCACCCAGCGGCTACCGGCACTCGCACGCGGCCTCGCACACACGACACGTCACACATGATAAGAGCACGGGGGGGCGGAGAACGCGAAGGGGGGCTAGGGTCAGGGAGGGCCCTTAGGAGGGGGGCCCGATTCCAACACCCTATTATGAGATACCCTAGAAATCTCAATGGGGGAGGAGGGGGCGGAGGCAAATCGCCCAAAAGGTCGAAGGCATGACCCTACCTCGAGCCCTGGGCAACTCGGCGGCTGCAAGAACAGACCGACCAATGGCCCTGGCCATACCGGGGGAGATGACACGAACGATACACGTTCCTCTTCCTACATACCTGCAAGCCAGGAAAAGGGAAAAACCGTCCCCTCCCCCCTCCTCCACCCCGAAAAAGGAGACCCCCTGGATCCGTGGCCCTGGACGACCCTGCAAAGGGTCCCCCGGGCGTTCTGGGGCTCCTCGACGCCCCTGCTGGGCCCAGCCCTTCGGCTCAAATTGGTCAGGAGGGCGGCCGAACGGCCCGGCAAGAGCCCCGAGCGGCCCCAGACACCCACCAGACGCCCGAAGACGACCCGAAGAAGACCCTCAAGAGGCTTTCGAACACAGGAAAACAGTGACATGTAATTGGTCGTTGCGTGATTTGGGGGATGCTCGGTTCTTCTGTCTTCTGGCCGCCCGAGACCGCCCGAAAGGCTTGAAAATCGCCTCAAAACGACCCGAAGGGGCTTCCAACCAACCCAAAAAAGTTTCAACACGGCCCAACAGGGTCCAAATATGGCCCGAAGAGAACCCCATGACGGCCCAATATGGCCCCAAAACGCCCTCCGAATCACTCCAAATCGTTGCTCGTTCGGGGAGACCGCGGTTGGAAGTGGCGTGGCCCGAGTCAGCCCCCAGAGGACCCCAGAAGGCGCCCAGGGAGCCCCCAGAAGACCCCAAGAGGCCCTGAAACAATTTCGTGAAGCCCTCAAGAGGCTCTTCACGGTTCCGAGGAAGAGCATCCGCAAAACGAGCTGAGGAGGATGGAGAAGAAGTCGGAGGGTATGGCGAAAATGATGGGAAGGAAAACGAAACATGAGGGACAAATAATCAATACTATCCTTACGACGACGATGCCGAAAAATGCAACAATGACGTATCGCAGTATTGACCATGTTTCCTCTCCTCCCGCCTGCATGCCACACATGACGGACCAAGGCGTACGGCACAAAGCTCAAACTCAGTATTGTACATATTTTTGTATCTACACAAACATAAACAAATTCTTCGTGTGAGACCCGGTTGGCCTGAAACACATACCTGCGATCACCTGCTAGCGAATTGCTTCCATCACTCGGGTGGGCAAGAGCCATGCGACGAAGGGATTTGTTTCGCCCTGGACTTACCAACGCTTCGAACCACCAGTTTGCAGAGATGAAGGCACCACGCATGGTGGCGAATTGAATCCTGCCAACCTTCCTAAGCCCTGATTACACCCCGCGGGCGATTCCGCATTCGAGAGGCCGTGATCCAGCCACCAACCCATGACTTAAGATTCCCCATGCGCCAGGAAGGGGACTTTAGCGAACGCCCCGATCACCCGAAAAGCACGCAACCTCTATGCTCAACCACCCCCACGCGCTGACGAAGCCTATGTGTAAGATCCGCGGGAGCGAGATCAAATAATTACCCTGGCGAAGGACCAAACGATAAGCAGTTGTGAGTACCGCGTTGCGCGTACCGCTTTCAGTGGAGCTCCCTATGAGGCCACGAAGCGCGTGAGAGGTGAGCCAAAATAGGCGTCGGGCGCATGCGGCCGGTGCCACTGGGACCTTCGGTGGGGCTCTGCATGGGGCCACAATCCTCGTGAGGTTGCGCCGAAAGGGTTGACATGCGGAGAGAAGATGCAAGGGATGGGAGGAGGGGGGGGAGGAGGAGAGGAGGAGGAAGGAAGGAACGCGGGGCGCCGTCTCTTCAAAACGAGGACCCAACATCACAAGATGGCCGGGAAAAAGCTTAATCAGAGGCAGCAGCGTGGAATGAGGACTCCCCGCTGCAATGTCCCGGCGGAAAACCGCGGGTCACGCCCGGAGGCTGCGAGGAGGACATCCACTTTTACGCCCATATCCTCCTTGACGTCCACCACCTCATCCTCCCCCGTCCTCCGCAACAAGCACTTGCTCGTGCACCTTTTCGGGAAATATCAGGACCTGGGATACAGGGGCAACAGCAGACGAGGAGGGGGGGGGCGGGCGGGGGAGGAGCAGCTCTGCCACGGCGGCGGCGCTGAGGGCGAGCGCCCGCGGCGTCGCCTCACCTGACCGGCGAGCGCCCCCCGCGCGGCCCAGGGCAGGGAGGACGGCAGCCGGCGTGGGCGATCGCCACCGCCGCGGGCAACTGGCGGAAAGTCCCAGGACGGCGAGGAGGAGGAGGAGGAGGAGCAGGAGGAGGAGGAGGAGGATGCAGGCCTTGAGCCCGCCTCCGCGAGCTGTCCCCGTTGCCGCGCGGGCGAAGGAGGTCACCGCAGTCGCCGCCAGACTCGAGACGGCCCACCGACCTGCCCGAGGCGGAGACAAAACGCGCGGGCAGGCCAGCTGCCAGAGGCCCTGAGCAGTCGCGAGAGTCCCCGCCTCCTGCAGCAAGCTGCGCGGGAGCGGGCACAACAGGCTTTTCCACGAAGTGACCGTTGAGGGCCGTGTAGCGCACAAGTCAAGCGACGTCTGTCGACCCGCCTGTGTCGCGAGAGTGCTGCGCGCTTTGTCCAGCCACCACGCCAACGGTCGGTTCCAGATATCGTCCAGTGAGACCTCGGGTCCCGTCTCGCACCCAAGCTCGGTGAGCGCTCATGTAGCACCGAAGTATGCCAGACCAAAGTCAAGTATCAAAGGAAGGTCCGTGTCCGCGTCTGCAGTTGCATAGACCTTGGCCCAGCAAGCGACACAATCACATGCTTAACTGGTTGTGGCCAACTGCGTGCTACCTTCGGGACAGCATGACAGAAAGCGTCCGCACCGTCATCATCAGGACACCACCGCGCGAGCCCCAGCATGCGCCTCTTGAGCGTAACAGTCAGCGCCTGAGAGAGGCAGTGCTCCCCGAGAGGAACAGAGAGCCCATGCTGGGGTCGCCTCGCATCGGCACCACACAGACAAGAAACAACATGAAGCGGCTACAGTCTGAAACGACAGTGCACACCGACATGTAGAGGCCCTGCAGCGTGAGAAGGAACCCATCTGGGACCTACCATGGGCGCCGCACGATCCAAATGTGGTGGTGCTCCTGCGAAGGGAACGACTGGCTTTAGTCGTAGATTCAAAAGGTCGGGCCGAATATCTTGAACGGGAAAACCAGCAGGTCGGCCAAGGGCATTCGCTCAGGACAGGAGAGGGCAATCTCCCCAGATGCGTGGAGGTTCGAAGCACACTGGGCGACGGGACCGCTCTCTATGTGTGGGGCCCCGAGTGGGTCATGCGCACGCTCCACTGCAGGCTGGCACGGTCCCGCCGACGGAGCCGCCGAAGCCAGGGCCGCGCGTCCCTTCGGACGAGCTGAACACCAGGAGGGCCAGCTCGAAGAGGAGACCCATCCGACGAGAAATCTGAGCCCACCTCCTCGTGGCCTTCCCGTCGAGTCGACGGAGGGGCCACGCGCGCCCCCCCCTGTTCAGAGGCTGGGGCCGCCTGCCGGACCACCGCCGCCGACGGGCTGCATACCGAGGCGGTGCTCAACTGCGGCGCGCCCGGGACCAGC